TTGCACAGTAAATTTCAGACAGCAAAATGTCAAACAACTGGAAGAATCGACACAAGACTTTGTAAACTAATTTGTTGCAGTCAAGCGGATGAACTTTGTTTTGTTTTCACTTTTCTATAATAGTGTGAATGTTTGTGAAGCATGCACACTGTTGTGATCCATTTTTTCTTTCGTACATTTTTCAGCATCTTTCTTGTTCCACAATTTTTGTGCCATTTCAACAAATCGTAAAACAAAAGGTTCAGCTCTTTCAGGACAATCCTGCTATGACTTTTGGTGTTGGTGCAACTTTAGCTTTTTGAAATATTTTGTCTTTTCTGCCATTTTTTTTCTCATAAATGAATTGAACTAATTTTGCATCCTTCAAAATCTTTAGATCTGTTTATAACCTTTTACTGCTCCTTTCACATTTTGTTCTGGTTCAGCTTCTTTCAGCTTCCTTGTGCAAATGTAAAAATTTTAGCTAATTTAAGCTGTTTTTCAGCTGTTTTGTGACCCTTTTAGATTAATTTAGTTAACTACAACATTAACTTCTTTCTGCTAATTTCAGCTTATTTATGCAAGTTTCAGCCTTATCTGCTATTTCAGCTACAATTTAGCTGTTTATATGCTACTTTTAGCTTTTTGGGTGACTAATTCAACATTTTTGCACTCATTTCAACCTTTTTCAGCCTAATTCAGCAAAAATGGGCTCTCCCCTCTTCCTTCTGGTAATTTAACCTCCTTTTTGATTTTTTTAGCTACTTTTCAGCTTTTCTGTGCTAATTTCTGCTTATTTAAACCTAATTCGGCAAATATATGTTCTTTCTGCTTTTTTCTGCTAATTTAGGATTTTTTTAAAAATGAATTCATTAATTCATTTAAAAGAAACAAAATAAACAAATTCGTCAAAAAGAAAAAAATGCATGAAAAGTGTGCAGAAATAAGAACAAAAATTCTTATATCTGCCCCTTATTTAAAAAAAACCCCATAAAATAACTTTAAACAAACAGCTTGGACTTGAGCATCTCCAAGTTTAATTTATTTAATTAGTAAATTTCAGCTACATTTCAGAATGTTTTTTTAGTGTGTGGCTAGTTTCGGCTGTTTTTCAGCAAAATCTAATGCAATAAGCATTCACATTGCTTTTTTACAGGAAATTCATTTTCTCTAGTTAGAATAAACTTTCATCTACAAATTCTAAAAGAAAATCTAACCACTATTTGAGTTTTATATCAGTAAGACAGTTGTTCACTTCAAATCCAGATCAGTTTATGATAAATGTGATGTTAAATAAAGAGAGATAGTTGCAAGTTCATGTAAGAGATTTAACCGATGTTAGCGTTTTTAGATTATTATGATTCTTATAGAGCAAGCACACTTTTTATTTGGTGAATAATTTACAGTTTGTTTTCTTACATCTCCTAATAACGTTTTTTTTTTTTTTTCAGTGATCCATCTGTGATAAACCTGAACACAGTGTTCATTCAAGGCAAAGAAAACCTGTTTAACAAAGTACAGAGATTATAACTATTATCAGATGCAGGTTTTATAAATCTGTATGACCAGTCTACATGGATTAATATTCCACGGACTGGATTACTTTCATGTTATTTTCCATGTAAAACATGCCTTTTTTCTTCATCTGCTATTTGGCAGTGTCTGTAAATTAAAAGCAGGTTTGTCAAATAAATCAAAAACTTCTTATTTGCCTGGATGACTCGAAGGAAGTGAGTACATTGATTCCAAGCGCCCCCTGGTGGCAGCTTTTAGTCACTGCAGGAGACAAAACCGCCTCAGTCTGGAGTTAGTTACACTTTAACTGTACTTAAAATCCAAACACTCTGTTCTTGTCTGTGAGCAAATTAAACGTTAATCTTTCAAAGTGAAAAAACTTCTAGTGAAAATTCAGCATTTACAATTCTAACTCATATTTTGTAAGAAATAAAAGGCATTCAAAGTTGTGAATGTGCAAAGTTTTAAAAACAGTTGCACACTTGAACCAAACGATGTGAACGACAGTTGTTTTCAGAGAAAGAACGTTTTGAATGGATGCATTTAAATAAAATTAAATATATTTTCTAGTTTGACTGTGTGTTGTAATAAATAAAGCCCTAAAACATTATGCTGTAGTAACGTTAGCACCATATAGACATTACACTATAAAAGAAATGTCCATATGGGTCCACTCATATGAAACAGGCCCACCTGTCCATATTTTTACAAGTGGGCCCTGTTTGCATGTGTTAAATGCTTCTGAGATTCAAACAGCAGGTTGGCTTGAAACACAGCAATGAAGGCTTCCTATGGGACAGCTATGGTTGGCAGGCCACAGACTGACAAAGTCTTCTGGATGGGAGACGAAACGTTTCTCACTTAAAGAAACTGGTCCAGATGACACGATTTAACCTTTTTTGCTAATACAAAATAAACTGAATAGTAAAAACACACAAAAACTCAAGATTCTGACAGACATTCACAAGTCATCTGAGCGTGATTTTTTACACACATCTTCTTCAAAGTTTGACGGAAACAGCTACAATTCTGCCATTTCTTAACACAAGATGATCTTAATCCAAAACCTTTGGATTAGCAGTGGGCAACATGTTTAGGAAAATTACAGTTATTTTATTTAGGGAGTCCAAATCTACAGGCAGGAGATCTCGTCTATCACGGACTACAAAGAGAACAAGTTTGCGATCTTTATTTAGTTTTAATTGATCGGAGACGCTTCGATAAATGTCTCCAGTTCGTGTTACAAGATGGAGTCAGTGGAAAGGACAAAGATTAAGACGCAGCTGCCACAAGCAAATCATTTCATGAGTTGTTGGTTCAATGGAAATGATTGATCAACCTTAAAACAACTAAAGACCGAGGTCCTAGAATACTAGTTCAAGTTGTGTCGTTTTGTCATATGCAAGGTTAACACAAGGTCAAAGAACAAACAAACAAGAAATACTAAAGCACAGGGTACAAAAATAAAGTACCAAAAAGTGAAGAAGTAATTATATTTACAACATCCTAAAGTGAGATAAACAATATCATGGTAGAATATAACGGTGCAGCAGGATGAATTTGAATGAACAAGTATTTCAAGGTAGTAATAGCTAAAATGCACATGATATATATATATACAAGCTAATATTAATCATATTAGTTGCCAGTTGTTCAGTGTTATTTATCGAGAGTTCGGTGATCTGATAGCTTGTGGATAATAACTGTCTTTGAGTCTTTTGTGTGTGATGACAGGCTCTTATCATCTGCCTTAGGGTAGTAGATGGGTGGGTATGATCCTTAATGATGCTGCATGCTTTATCCAGAGATCGGCTGTGGTTGATGTCCTGGATGGTGTGGAGACTGCTACCAGTGATGTCCTCTGCTGTTTGCATTACCCTCTGTAGAGCTTCCTGGCTCTTACTGGTGCAGTTCCCGTACCACCCTGTGATGCAGCCTGTCAGCAGGTTCTCAATGGTGCACCTATAAATGTTGGTGAGGATGCTGGTGTTCGTACCAAACTGTTTTAGTCTTCTTAGGAAGTTGGGTCTTTGTCGGGCTCTCGACCTGTAAAGTCCAGGATAGATCCTCGGTAACGTGAACTTCGAGGAACTTGTAGCTGCTGACCTGCTCCACCTCAGCGTTGTTTATGTTGATGGTGGAGTGCTGGCCTCCATGCAGTTTCCTGAAGTCCATTATCATCTCCTTGGTTTTGCTGACGTTCAGAGACTGGTTATATTCCTGACACCAGCTGGTCAGTGATTTCACTCTGTAGGCACTCTCGTCGTTGTTGGTGATGAGGCCCAGGACGATGGTGTCATCAGCATACTTGAGGATGACGTTAGAGCTGTGCTTGGCGGTACACTCATGTGTAAATAGTGAGTACAGGAGTGGACTGAGGACACACCCCTGAGGTGTACCAGTGCTGAGGGCTAGTGTGGAGGAGAGGTGACTGCCTGTGGTCTGTTGGTGAGGAAGTCCAGTATCCAGTAGCAGATGGACTTCTCCAGGGCTAGTGTGGTGAGTTGGAGACCAGTTTTGGAGGGGATTATGGTGTTGAATGCTGAGTTGTAGTCAATGAAGTGCATTCTCAAACTTACCTTCTCCAGATGACTGAGGGAGGTGTGAACTGCTAAAGCAATAGCATCATCTCTAGACCTGTTTGCCCTCTATCTGGAAAGTGTGACTCTCCAATAAAAATGACTTCAGTCTGTTTCTCATTGACATGAAGAAAGTTTAAATTCATTTGTGCCTCATTTAAGAGCACATTACACTACAGGGACGGGCTGGGGGTCCTCCCCCAGAATTTTTTCAATAAAGTAGATGCAATTTCCTGCATTCTGGTGTATTTTAACGGGTTGTTAAACATCCACGTTTACTTCCATAAGTAACACTCGATTCAATAATTATTTTAGTAAGCAACAAGAAGTAGCGCTAAGCTAGCGGCGTGCAATACAGACGCACCAGCTAAGATGCTACAGACGTAGCGCTCTGCTTTACATTACACGACCTAATAAACACTTTGTACAAAATCAGTTTAGTGCCAACTGATAATAACAAACAAAGACCAAACTTATGCAACCAGAAGATGCAACATATCTACATTTTAAACACACAAAACAAAGCACGACTAACCAGCTTTAAGCATTAACTTTTAATTTAACCATAAAGAAGACCTGCAGTTACCTTCGAACAGATGAATATGTGGCACTTCCTGTTTATCACTCTTGCATTCAGCTGCTCATGATGTCGGCAGCAGGGCTTTATCATCTTTTACATATTTCCAGACTCATATTAGGTTTTGGAAATGGAATGAACTGTATTCACCCTCTAAAGCAGAACTATTCAACTAAACTGCTCAGGGGGGCCACAGTTACTGAAAGCCAGCAGCTCAGGGGCCGGACATCCATTAAAGTCATTATGTAAATAAACCAAGTATTACAATGATCCGTTACCTTTTAAATATGTTTCTTTTGTTGCATTGAATCATAAATGCAATAAACAAAACCCAAAACCAGAACCGCCCCAATTTTTAAAAATTTTTTATTTATTTACTTTATTTTTCAAGGGTGCTGAGTTAGTAAATTTCTCCTTTCAGAGTAACGTGGCTGAATGATGAAGAAGGAGACAAACAATCATTCTTAGATTTTATATTATGAGAGGTTACAGAAAAAAACAACGAGTCTTTTCGTTGCAGACAATTAAAAGTTGAAAAATGCCCCTTTTTTTTGTTGCATTTACAAACTTGTGCTTCTTTAAAGCTACGTTTTAAAGGACAACTTGCAGTAGATGGTTGTACATTCATCTGGAAGCATCAGAAGACTTATTGGGCACATTTTGTCCATCATGTCAATTTAGCAGATTAAAAAAAGCGGTAGGAAACAAGAAGCCGTTTGTTTTGCCAGACTGATTAAATCTGTCTCTCTGCCAGTTCTGAAATCCACACTAGTGGATTTGTTTTAGAGAAACTCTCTGGCTGCCATCTGTACCATTCTCCTTCATCTCACTGCCTCCTCCAGCGGTTTTTGGGTTTCTCCTCACACTTTGGGCCCTCACAGGTACCGGGCAGAGGTGGTGGGGGCGTCGGCGCAGCCTTTGCAGCATCTGACGTCTCGGCTCTCTTACTGACGGTGCTGAGCAGAGCAGGAAGCTCATGTGAGATGGCCCTCTCTATCTTCTCGAGCAGACAGCCCCCAGTCCAGCTGCAGAGCTGGGAGAGCTGCTTGAAGTTGGAAACTGGGTTGACTCCAAAGAAGTCCTGGTAGGCCTCCTTGTCGGGGAGGTCAAACTTGCTGACGTTAGTCTTGGCCAGGATGGACTTGAAGATGTAGTACTTATCTGGGTCATTCACGATGTCTTGGAAAACTTCGTGGGGGTCGCCAAACCAGCCCAGTTTGTTCTGGTAGGTTTGAAGGTAACGGTCCACCAGCAGGGCGTGGATGCGCACACGTATGGCGTGCTGACGGGTGAAGGCAATTTTGTTCTCTATCTGGTTCTCAATGACCTGCGAGGAAACAGTTGTGCCGCAGTTACAAAACAAACTTCAGAGTAAATGACATGGTGTTTCAGTCACAGAGTCCAAACAAGCTTGTGGACAAGACAAAACAAAGAATCATCCAAGGTTGAGTCAGGTCCTCTGGACAGATTCTTCTTTGTTGAAACGTTTAGTCTTTTAGCCAGAATACTTCTTCAGCCTGAGGAGCTGCAACAAACTCAGTCTTATAAGCAGCACTCAGTCTCGGACACCACCAAGTCATTGGTTCAAGTATGTTGATGACACTGGCTTTCTTGAACTGTGAGGTCTGATAGTTGCAATTTGCAAACCGAGGTGTACCACAAACCCACCCACACAGACCAGTATTTGCAGTTTGACTCCCATCACCCTTTGGAGCACAAGTTAGGAGTCATCAGGACTCTGTATCACAGAGCAGACAGCGCCCCCACTAGCTCGGGAGCCAGGCAGAAGGAGAAATCCTACACAAAACAGGCTCTAGAGCAATGTGGATATCCTAACTGGGCCTTCCTGAAAGCAGAGAAGAAACCCAAACAGGACTCCAGTCAGCCAACAGGTGAAAAGGAGGAACCCAGACCCAGACCAGTGGTCATTCCATATGTTGAGGGAGTATCAGAGAAACTGAGACGTTTATTTTCTAAACATAACGTCCCAGTGGCTTTTAAACCTCAAAATACATTACGGCAAAGACTGGTTCATCCCAAAGATCCAGTCCCCCGGCACAAACAGAGTAATGTTGTGTATGCTGTTCAGTGTCAGGAGGGCTGTGATCAGTCTTACATCGGGGAAACTAAACAACCACTAGCCAAAAGGATGGACCAGCACAGAAGAGCAACATCATCAGGCCAGGACTCTGTGGTCTACACTCATCTCTAGGCCAGCGGTCACTCTTTCAGGGATGAAGATGTTCACATCCTGGACAGAGAGGTTTGAGAGAGGAGTAAAGGAGGCCATCTTTGTGAAGAGAAACTGTCCACCATTAAACAGGGGTGGAGGCCTCCAGGTTCAACTGTCCCCCTCTTACAATGCTAGTATCACTTAGCCGTCTGTGAATAGCAAGCGGCCATCAGGGCACTAACAATCCATTGTTAGGCTGCTGGTCCTCCTTAATCATGTGAAGAACTAGTTTTGGTTGTCACCAGCAAGCTGGCTGATCCACAATGAGAAGGTGCTGTTTATAGAACTGAGTTTTCTGCAGCCCCTCAGAGTAAAAACGAAACGTTTGAATAAAGAAGAACCCGTCCAGAGGACCTGACTTAACTTTGTTAGATTTTTCTACCTGGATTATTGAGCATGCATCAGGACATAAAGGAGCATGCACTCAAAAGAGCATCTTTCAGCTGTTTGCAACTATTTCTCCATTGACTGTATTTTCAGTTAGATTTTGTTTGCACAAATTATGTCCCTTTATTGCCCTGTTGCAATTTAGTTTGAGATTTCTCATGTCAGAACGATAAGGTTGTCCTGCAGGAAATATGTATATTATATTTGTATAAAATAAACCACAGTACATTGTCGATTTCCAGGTAATCAAAAGTCAGAAAACCAATATCATGTTGGCTTTCATTTATAGTTCTTGAAGATGAACCAGAATTGGAAAGCCAGAGCTTTACAATAAATGGAAACTGGAACGCATCTTGAAAATTTAAATCATTGCAGCTCTCATCAAAACCTTCATGAGGAAACAGGAGAACAAGGTTTACCTGGTTGAGATCCTCCAGCAGGGAGATCTCCTCCTTCATGAAGAGCTCTCGGCTAGAGTCTGCGGCGTATTCCTGAGGCCAGAAGGAGCTGACGTAAACACGAGGGGGTTCTGTGACATTGACCAGTGGGGCCATGCTCCAGAACAGGGCTCCATAAACTCTCATCAGGTCCTGGGTCGACACACTGTCGGCCTTGTTGAGGATGAGGCGAATCTGTGACTCGCGGCCTTTCATCTGCCGGAAGAGCATCTCCAGCTCCCCTCCCACGTCCAGCTTGGTGGGATCGAACACCAGGAAGATCAGATCAGCTCGATCAATGAACCACTGGCACACCTCGTTGTATGGGTAACCTAAGAGAAAGGAATGTTACTATCTTGAGGGGTCACCTCAGCAAGTCATCTACACACACTTTCCCCATTTTCCTCCATCACTCCAACTCTCTGCATGTCCTCGTCTGCTAAACTTTCTCTGTGGCCTTCCTTCCACCACCATGGCAGCTCCATATTCACCACCCTTTGTCTAATATAGCCACCATCCCTCTTCTGCAACGAGTCCAAACCATCTCCTCCATGCCGCTCGAACTTTAATTCCACATCACACAACTGAAACTGTCCCTCTGATAAACAGGTGCTGGTCACAAAATTAGAACATCATGAAAAAGTTGATTTATTTCAGTAATTCCATTCAAAAAGTGAAACTTGTATATTATGTTCATTCATTACACACAGACTGATATATTTCAAATGTTTATTTCTTTTAATGTTGATGATTATAACTGACAACTAATGAAAACCCCAAATTCGGTATCTCATAAAATTAGAATATTGTGGAAAGGTTCAATATTGAAGAGACCTGGTGCCACACTCTAATCAGATAATTAACTCAAAACACTTGCAAAGACCTTTAAATGGTCTCAGTCTAGTTCTGTAGGCTACACAATCATGGGGAAAACTGCTGACTTGACAGTTATCCAAAAGACGACCATTGATACCTTGCACAAGGAGGTCAAGACACAAAAGGTCATTGTTAAAGAGGCTGGCTGTTCACAGAGCTCTGTGTCCAAGCACATTAAGAGAGAGGCGAAGGGAAGGAAACGATGTGGTAGAAAAATGTATATAAGCAATAGGGATAACTGCACCCTGGGGAGGATTGTGAAACAAAACCCATTTCAAAATGTGGGGGAGATTCACAAAGAGTGGACTGCAGCTGGAGTCGGTGCTTCAAGAACCACCACGCACAGAAATATGCAAGACATAGGTTTCAGTTGTCTCATTCCTTGTGTCAAGCCACTCTTGAACGAGACAACTTCAGAAGTGTCTCGCCTGGGTCTGCTGCTGAGTGGTCCAAAGTTATGTTCTCTGCTGAAAGTAAATTTTGCATTTCCTTTGGAAATCAAGGTCCCAGAGTCTGGAGGAAGAGAGGAGAGGCACATAATTCACGTTTTTTGAGATCCAGTGTCAAGTTTCCACAGTCAGTGATTGTATGGGGGTCATGTCATCTGCTGGTATTGGTCCACTGTGTTTTCTGAAATCCAAGGTCAACGCAATCGCCTACCATGAAGTTTTAGAGCACTTCATGCTTCCTGCTGCTGACCAACTTTATGGAGATGCAGATTTCATTTTCCATCAGGACTTGGCACCTGTACACAGTGGCAAAGCTAACAGTACCTGGTTTAAGGACCATGGTATCTCTGTTCTTAATTGGCCAGCAAACTCGCCTGACCTTAACTCCATAGAAAATCAATGGGGTATTGTGAAGAGGAAGATGTGATACACCAGACCCAACAATTCAGAAGAGCTCAAGGCCACTATCAGAGCAACCTGGGCTCTCATAACACCTGAGCAGTGCCACAGACTGATTGACTCCAAGCCACGTCGCACTGCTGCAGTAATCCAGGCAAAAGGAGCCCCAAGTATTCAATGCTACACATGCTCATACTTTTCATAATCATACGTTTCAGTTGGCCAACATGTCTAAAAATCCTTTTTTTTATTGGTCTTGAGTAATACTCTAATTTTCTGAGATATTGAATTTGGGGTTTTCATTAGTTGTCTGTTATAATCATCAACATTAAAAAAATAAACATTTGAAATATATCAGTCTGTGTGTAAAGAATGAATATAATATACAAGTTTCACTTTTTGAATGGAATTATTGAAATAAATCAAGTTTTTCATGGTATTCTAATTTTATGACCAGCACCTGTATTTTCTCACCCTCCCAGTGAAAAATTTCCTCTTCTTCATCTTTACTGGATTGAACACTGCCGCTGGTGTTTTGTTAGTACAACAATCTTCCAACCACACACCATAGCTAGTCTCACTACCATCCATTAAACATTTCCTTTTACTCACTTCTTCTGTTATAAATCAGTCCTAAAACTTGTCCCCATCCACTCAACCCTGCCTGCACTCTGTTCTTCACCTCTCCTGTTTCTTTGGATGGTTGACCTCAGGTAGTTAGTCATCAACTTTCAAATATGTATCCTTTGCACCTTCCCTGTTACACCTGCCTCCGTTTCATTCACACAGATATATTTTGTTTGTATGAATCCTATGAGTTTTCCTCTTACAGATTTCCTCCACCAGATATCGCCAATGGAGACACACCTGCAGAGCCTTACCCCAATGAGCTGCAGGTGTATAAAAGGCAGCTGATGACATCACTGCAACGCTGGTGCATTATCTGCCTGATGGTAGCGTGTTCCCGGCCCTTTGTTGTATTCTAACGTTAATCCTACCACTAATCCTTGCTCCTTTGACACCCTGGACCCTCCCTGCGTTCTCTGAGTACCTCCTTGTGACCTCCTTCACTCCCCATTGCCTTCCCCACTTGCTTCTTAAATCTCATTATTGCTCTGGGACCTCACTGGACTGACCTTGGAACCTTTGGACTCTCATGCCCCCAGAGTTTACCACCTTCTCCAAAGTAAGCCATCTGTTTATTCTTCATTACAATTTGCAGACCCACTTGGCTTCCACCATCTCCCTTGTCTTTTAGGGTTCCAGTCCTTTCCACCAGAGGTCACAGTTCTACTGTTTACCCCACTTTTGTTAAAAAAACAAAACAAAACACAGTTATAAACTATTTTGTGTCTTGTGGTTGCTCTTACGGTTCACAACCTTTCTGGGTATTAGTTAATCATTACACTGTTTTGCTTCTAGTGACATTCATTGCTCTTTGTTGCAGAGCTCAACCTCTCCAGACTCTCTTCCACCTGCTCCCCAGAAATGAAGAAGTTTTAAATCGCTGTAATAGATTTGTGGAAAGTCCATAGCTTAAAGACGGTTAACAAAGTTAAACCCAGATATATGATAACATTTGACACATTTATGTAGTGGCCCTCACCTCTTTCCTGCTGCTTGCGGTTTTCAATGATGCCAGGCGTGTCGACAAAGGTGACCCTCTCCAGGAGTTTATGGGGCATCTCGATGCCAACCAATCGTTCCAAGAAGCCCTGACCGAACCTCTCCAGGGGGGAAAAGGACCGTGAACTGTCCGCTGCCATGACAATGCCTTCTATGGTTCGAAACTTCTCGCCGTGCATAATAACTGTGTACTCAGAGGTGGTGGGCTCAGCGCCTGGTGCATGGGCGAAGAGGGATTTATTTCACTGCATTTACAAGGTAGATGGTTACAAACAGGTTTTTATCTGTGCTAACCTGTGTACAGCTCCTGGGGTGTGCCGTGGAGACCCAATAGGTAGTTGATCATGGAAGACTTGCCTACACTCCAGGGGCCCAGAAACAGAACCATGGGCTTAGAGGTGATCTCACCGTCTGAAAATGATTACATAACCCAAAAATAAACAAATAAATAAATACATAAAGTGAAATAAAAAGAAATACAAAATACTTGCAACAAATGTGCCTTCCAGCAAAAAAAAAATATTCTAAATGAAGTTGAGTAGAGCTATATATATATATATATATATATATATATATATATATATATATACATATACATATATATATAGTACTGGAAATAATGTATAAAGCACTGAATAGAAGTCTTCCTTCTGGAATTCAGAAATTATTTAAGTGAAAAGAGGGTAATTATAATTTATGAGCTTTGTTAATATTTGATCATGCTAAAGAGAAAAGTAAAGTAATATCTAAACACATTTCAGTTATTGGTGTGAAACTGTAGAATGAACTGAATGATTACCTCAAATTATATGTTCTTTGGTGAGCTTTAAGATCCTTAAAATGTCAATTTATAAATACTTTTATGTAGATGTACAGCATATAAGTATTGTGTAACCATGTACGTATGCAATGTATGTACCGTACTGTATCTACATGCATGTTTAAATATAAATGTGTGTATGTGTACGTATGTATGAATATGGACAGTACTGTAGATATCATTCATTATGTAAACTGCTGAGTTTATGAATAGGGTAGAAAAGCACAAGCCTTGGCTTCAGCCTATTCTTTTTTTGGTAAATTATTGATTTGTAAAATAGTATTTTTTGTATTGTTGTCCTTTTCTGTAATGTTAATTTATCAAAATAAATTTGGGTTGAGAGATGAATTATGTGATAAAATGTGGGCTGCTTTCCATAAAGTGGCAAAACTTCTACAATTCTGAAAACTACACAGGAGTTCTGCTGCATTCTGATTTGCTGGGTGTAATGTGGGACACTGCTTGCAATCATGCTGTGCTCCACAAGATGTCCCAGAGTCACAAAGCTCAGTTTGAGGCCTTCATTTTGTTCCTTCTCTGCCCTCAAGTGCTTTGGAACAAAGTCGCTGCACAGTATTCCCTTCAAACTGCAGCAGACAGGGTCTTTATTGTTCCTCCGTGTGCCTGCTTTGAAAAACCAAGAGTCCGACCTCCAAACTCTCAGTTCTGACTCAGAATGACTTCAGGCTTCCTGGTTTCTTCACACATCCAGTTCATTTAACTGGATCCTGCACGTTTGGAACAACGTGGTCTAAAGAAGCTCGTGAGGGGCTCGGGTGAGGTGTTTTTGTGGATTTCCAATCAGCTCTTGCTATTTCATCTCGTGCACTTTTGTTTCAAAACGAGCGCTGCAAGAAAATGTTCACTTTGACAAAAAGCCGAGGTACAAACCTGTAAGTTCATGCTGCCTGAGCTCGTTGTATTTAAACGCCTGCTCCATGGGCTTGATGGCCGTGTGATAGACGCTCAACAGTTTCTTTACAGCACCTAAATGGAGACAATCACAGAGGCAGAACTGATGACAAAGGCTGCTTCCGCTCCACGTGATGAATTGCCCTCATAAAATTTGTTGAATGTAGCCAATGCAATTAAGAAACTGGCTTCGTCGTTCTAGTTTGACAGAACAGAGGAGCTTTCATGCTGAGGACAGTTACACATTTACACTGATTAATCACCCTCCCGTAGATGCGTCTGCACACACACATGCGCACGTACTGTGCATGCGCTCACATCAAGGCCCCGGATCCGAACATCATGAAGTAATTTTCAGAATAGTTTCAGCTCTTAAAACCGCTTCAAACTTCCTTTCCTGTGTTTTCAAACCCATCTGGTTTTCTTTTGCACGGACAGAGTAAGTGTAAACAGTCTGATGCATTTTTGTTTTTAGCACACGGCTCCAGGCAATTATGCAGCATGAGACTAAGAGGCATCACAGAAGATGGATCGGTCTGTTGAATTTTATTGTCTCTAAATATAAATGTGCACACGGTAGGTTTCTTAGCTCGGAGAAAGAGTTCTTATGCAACAAATAAAAATGAAGTCACATCTGCTGCGCTGTTGTTCCTTACCAGAGAACTCGGCTGAAGGTTCAGCCATCGCCAGTCGCAGCATGTCCTCGATGTGGGAGCGGTCCCTCAGGCCGGAGCCTATGACCTCTGTGGGTTACAGTTAAAAGATTCTCTCAGTCACTTTTCAATTAAAAAAACTAAACTCTTTTACACCTGTGATTGTAGATGACTCTACTCTTGTAAGAGATTTGAAACGCTCCTACAAGCGCTCTGCAGATGTTGGATGCTGTCTATCACGGTGCGCTAAGATTCATAACTGTCTGTAACTATCGTATTGCACCCTGTATTCACTGGTTAACTGGTCATCATTAACTTCATGTAGACTCTCACTGGTACATTTTCATCTTTGAATCACTTCTTGGTCTGCTGCCTTCATACATCTCCTCCTACATGTCTGTGTGTGAGTGCAGCTACAGCGTGCGCTCCCAGGACATCATTACCTGCAGTGTCCCTCAGTGCGGACTGAACTAGGCAAAAGGGCCTTCTCCTACTCCGCTCCAGTTTCCTGGAATATCTTGCAAAAAGATCTGAAGCTCTCGACCTTGACTTCTTTAAGTGGCTTTAAGAATCTGTTAAGTTCCTGGCAAGAACCAACACAGACATGTTCCTGTTTTTAGTTTTTTTACATTGTCTTACAATCTAGCTATTTTTTCCACTACTTTTCCTTTAAATTACCATTTTATTTTCACTTGTTTAAAAATTTTTTTTTATGCATCCTTCATGATTGTCTATTATTGTCCACTGTTGTGATCACTCTGTTAAAATTCAGGTGTCTCTTGTAAATGAGTCCCTGTGGCTCAGTGTGATTAACCTGCATAAATAAAGGATGAATGAGAAGAGATTTTAAACATGTTCATTATGTGAGATTTATTAGTCCCACTGAAGCTGTGAAGCAGAGAAGCCCAGCAGAAACATGACGTGCTCCTCAGCTGTGAGTGACCGGGACATCTGGGCCAAGCGCCGGTCCAACTGTTATATCATCCTGTTGTCCATCTCTCCGTCTGCTTCTTTCACTGCTATTTCAGTCCGTTTATTTCTGCACTAAAGCTTGCTGCTAATTCCCTTTTAGCACAGTGTCACATTCTGAAGCTTTGATTTATTCCACTGAGTCCAAATTTAAAAAAGTAAAATGGCACACTTTTGCTATCAGTGCACAGCCCATATTGACAAAAGACTAGAGACACAAATGTCCAGATATAAAAATAGAAACAGTTGAGCTAATTCTGGTGAATAGTGGACAGCATTTTTTTATAGGGGAGCAGTGGCACAGAGGTTAGAGAAGGTGGGCCTGCGATTGGAAAGTTGTCGGTTCAACACCCTGGAGCAACTACATCAAAATATGGGTGAGAAAGGTGAAACACACCTGTCTCCACCCTCATTTGCCCCACTCTGAGCCCTTGAGCAAGACCCTTAACCCCCACCATCTGCTCCCCCGGGCACCCTAGACGGCAGCTCTCTGTTCCACACAGAGGGCTGTGGTAGCTCAGTGGTCTGTGGTTGCGTCAGGAAGAGCATCCAGCATAAAAACAATCGCCAAGTCTTCGTGCGAGTTAGTTTGCTGTGGCGATCCCTGAAGAAGGGAGCAGCCGAAAGAAAACAAAGAAAGTGGACAGCAATACATAAAACATCCCAATAAGTAGAATACTGTGTACATATTCGGCACTTACAGGGTACATACACTACAATTTAAGTCAATTCAATTCAGTTTATTTATATAGCGCCAAATCACAACAAAGTTGTCTCAGGGCACTTTACAGAAACATTCACATAAAAGCCAATTAGTAAAGTTCTCTATCTAAGGAATCCAGCAGACAAGTTGAGTCTTGGCTTTGTTGCAGTCTCCCATCCTGAGCAAGCACAGTGGCAACAGTGGAAAGAAAAACTCCCGTTTAAAAGGAAGAAACCTCCAGCAGAACCAGGCTCAGGACAAGCGGCCATCTGCTTTGACCGACTGGTTTGAGAGGACAGAAAGGAAAGACAATACCACATACCAGATGCATGGTACATACTGGCACTTAAATGGTATGTACCTGGTACATACCAGTATGTACCTGACATTTACATGATACTGTTATTTGATTTGTGTTTTCTTTTTAGATATTCTCTGGTTCCTTTGTTTCCCTGTGTCCTCTCCTCAGTGTTAATGTGGCACACCTGTTCCTGATTTCTTTCCGCAGGTGTTCCCCGTTCCCCCACTGACAGTGGTGGGATGTACTTAAGTACATTTTTCATGTATCTGTACTTTACTTAAGTAGAATTAAACATGGGTACTTTCGACTTTTACTTCACTACATTTTCCATTAAGTACCTGTACTTCCTACTACACTACATTTCTATAATGCGTTGCGTTACAAGTTACATTCACGTCACATTGCGGTTTTTTGATTTGTTCGTTAGTTTGAAAGTAGCCAATGGTGAGAGGGGAACTGGTCCATTGAACCAACCAAAGTAGGCAGGTAACGTTAGACCCGCCTTCAGAAAGAGCTGGGTCAGTGACGTATGCTCCCGCTGCACCTGGCTCTAACACACCTAATGGATTCAACCTCGGAGAGTCAGCAGGAAGATACGTGCCACCCATGGCCTTATTTTAAAACTTTCTTTGAGTTAACGGTTCAAAAAACAACTCGTGGAGATTCCGGTGTCAACTTTGTCTCCCTTGAAACCATGAACTCCTGTCTTTCAAAAATTCGCTGTCAAATCTGAAAAAAACCCATCGAGGTAAGTGAAGTTGCTAAATGCTACCTGACTTTTGCATGTGAAATTAATTTAGGTTAGTGAAGTCTTATGTAACCTTAACTAGCTTCTTGTTCAATTGTACCGCTAACAAGTAAACACAATTAAATTATTATAATCTAGCATGAACTGGCAACATGCTTGTTGTTAACACAGTGTCGTCTTTTCATGCGAGTTTGCTTGGATGCTAAATAACATGATAATGTGCATGTTTGTTGCTTGTGTGGCTAGGAGCTTGTAAAATGGAACACTATTAATGTATAACAGAAAATATACATATAGTAGGAATACTTAATGGTATTGTAGACCATTGCATTAGGTAATACATTCAGCAAGTACTTTTACTTTTAATACTTTAAGTATTTTTAAAAGCAAGTACTTTTTACTTTTACTTAAGTAAAAACATTAATGTGGTACTTCTACTTTTACTAGAGTACATTTTTGTCTGTTTATTTGTACTTTTACTTAAGTACATTGTTTGAGTACTGTCTCCACCACTGCCCCCTGATGAGTTGTTCTGCATTTATGTGTGTTCTGCCCTTCACTCCCTGTCGGTGCATTGCACGTTATTGCTCCTTGTGTTTTCTCCTTGTGCCTCCAAGCAACTCCCACCTGTGTTCTTCCTTTTCCCAAGCGACCAGTAAGACCTGTAGATTCTTTGTTCAAAGAACAAAGTGTTGGTTGCCTTTTTGAAGCCCTTGTGTCAGAGTCTGCATGAGTTGTACCCAGCCAGAACTTTCTTGATAGATGTACCATGGTATGTACTGGTATTTACCTGGTATGTATCTGGTAAGTACTTGGTATTTATGACGCTGTATTATGACGTGACTTGTTGTCACCCTGTACTTACGAGACACATACCTGGTACTTACAAGGCATGTACAAGACACATATCATGTATGAATCCACAGCTTTATGCTACTTAAGCTAGCATTTCAATACTTTTATCTTTTAGCCAAACTTTAGCTGCTTTTCAGCTGGCATTTTCATGCTTTTAGCTAACCTTTTGCAAATGTTTTTGCTATATTGCCTTTTTGCAATATTTAGCTTTTAGTTTGCCTTTTGCTGCTTTTAGCCAGCATTTATCTGCTTGATGTGGGAGTTCTGCTCCGAAGCTCCCTGCAGCCACAGCTAGACGCTAACAGCACCTGAGGATCATCAGCTTGATGCGCAAGAGGAGCATAAAAGGCTACAGAGGACATCCAGTCAGCGCTGGAGCATTACCTGCCAATGGTAGTTCTATTCTAGCCTTTTACTCGTAAGGTAAACCGAATATTAACAACCTTGTATTTTTCAGTGCCTCCAGTAAATAATCCCTGATGTCCTCCTGTCCCCTGGATTCTCCTCTGTGGACCTTGAGCTCTCCTGTTCCTCCTCAGCCGCCATCACGCCTTCCTACCACTTGCGTATCTCCTGCCATTGTCCAGACGTACACCTTATTTTCTTGGAAACATCTGGGTCAGCTCTCCCCACTACTGACTCCTACCTCTACCGTAAGAAGGAGAGCAACAACATCATCACCCCTGCCGACAGAACATTAACCATCTCGTTGCTCTTCAGGGTTCCAGCTCCCTCACTGGCTCATTGAATGATTTATCGCCTCGTAAATACATTTTGAGTCTTGGTGTCTGTTCTCCTTGATCCTTGTATCTGCGTATAGCCACAATTGCTACATTAGCTTTATATAGCTATATTTAGCATTTAGCAAGCCTTTTGGTCTTTTTGGCTAGTGTTTTGCTCCTTTTGCTTTCTTTACTATAAAAACTCCGTTTTAGCTTATTTAGCAAAGTTCATCAGTCATCTAGCCTTCACTCTACACATTAGCTGAAAATGCAGTTTAGTATTTTGCTTCGTTTTATGGTAGTGAATTAAAATCTGAAGAGGTAAATGAAGGTTTTGTACCTTTGGTTTGAGGCTGTGCAGACTCTTCTTCAGGCTTTTCTTCAGGAGTTTCCACTGTGGTTTCTATCTCTACATCTTCTACATCAACTTCCACCATATAAGGTTCATTTATCTCTGGTTCTGTTTCAGGAACCAGCTCTGGTTCTGAAATATCTTCTGGTGCTGCCACAACCTCTGGCTCAGCCTGTGGTGGAGGTTTCAGCTCCTCCGTTGGTTCTGGTTGTGTCTCTTCAGGTTCAGGCTCTGATGTCTCCGATTCTGTTTTTTCAACATCCTCCTCCTCAGTGACCTCTTGTGCTTCATCCTCTTCTTCCACAGCTTCATCCCCTTTTTCCACAGCTTCATCCTCTTCTACCTCAGCTTCAGCTAAAGTCTCCTCTTTAGATACTTCCTCTTCTGGTGCCTCATCTTCAGCCTCAGTTTGCTCCTCAGATGTCACCTCTTTGTCCTCCTCTGTCTGCTCTCCATGGTTTTCTCCTTCAGTAACAGCAGCAGAAGAGTCGTCTTCTGGAGGAGCTCCTTCTTCCTCCTCATGCTCTGAGGGGACAGCCAGCTCTTCTTCAGTGGTGGATGGAGCTTTGCAGGGCTGGCACATGGCCCTCTCTGGGGCCGGGGTGTCATTGGAAGAGCTCTGGCTGGCATCTGTTGTGTCACATCCACACGAGAAGAGGTCTCCTTCTGGCTGCTGGAGCTGCAGATGCTTCAGAGGGTCTTCATCCTGGACGGAGGACTCTGTCAGGAGATCTGAGATAGTAAAAAAAAAGTCCAGTCTTACACAAATCACATATTTGATCATAAACCAAAGATTTGAACAAGGCTGTGTATTTATTGACCATGGTTGAACGTGAAAGGGCAATGTCCGTATGCGTTCATTTGCTGTGTTAGCAAAATAGTTCATGAATCACCGGACAGAGTTTGTTGGGAAATTCAATTCAAAATATTTTATTAATCCCAAAGGGAAATGAAATGTAGTATCACATCATCCTGGTTTCATTAAGAGTTCTTATAGATGCTGATGACTGTGAGCAGAAAGGATCTCCAGCAGCAGTTCGTCCCACAGCGAATCTGAAGAAACTGGCTGCAGATGCTGATTTGTTCACCTAGACCCAGCGGGCCTCTCGGTCCTCCTGGGCAGCAGGACCACCAGAATGTTGGGCAGAACTCCTCCCTGAGCGATGGCCACTCCTCTCAGCAGCTTGCTGAGCTCCTCATCACTGCAGACAGCTGCAGGTGTCCGGGGATGATCCTGGTCTCAAGCCACGCCAGCTCCAGGACCTCAGCAGTCAGTCACTCGAGCACCTCCATCAGGTAGACGGAGATGCATCCACGACGCCTTGTTTACAACTCATTTGGGATTTGGGGCTGTATTTGAGGTGATATTTGAGCTTTGAGGTGTTAATCAACTGCTCCCACTTGTAAAAACCACCTTGTTGTCATGGTTACGCTTCATAACAAATGTCCAAAAGTAAAAAAGTTTCAGTAAAAATCCTTCCAGTTGCACAGCATCCAATACCAGAGAAAGTAATTATACAAAAAAAAAATTACATCCAGAAAAAGAGGAAATAAAGTTTTCTAAAGCAATATTTCAGAATGAAAGTAACAGCTACTCCAACATGCAGCCACCTTGAGCAATTCTAGAACTCGATAAAGTAATAACTGACTGTACATCTGTAACTGAATGACTTCTGGAGTCAATCCAAGTCAAGAAGGCCGCCGCATCAGATCAACCGTATTCAACATAAAAATGGCAATAACTTAAAATTTGAGGTGGCAGTAGCTGACAGTGTCAGGGCTCTGTAGAAAATTGGAGCCAAGGATGCAAACTTGCTCAAAGACTCAAGTGAACAGAAGTTTCAGTAATGGTAATAAAAAATAAAATACAAACGTACGAACACAGAGGAGAACCCAAACATATTGGGGAACGAGAGAATATAAGGGCTGAGACTGGTGAGATGAGCTGCAGGTGAGATGAGCTGCAGGTGAGATGAATGGTTAACAACGGGCAGGTGTGAGTGATGTGTTTAAGAGCAGGACTGAAAACCAAGAGTATCAAAAAATAAAATAAGAAATATGATGACAAAAAAACCCTGAGTAGTAAAAACACAAAAAAATCAAAATCCTGACAGACATTCACAACTCGTGACGTTTTACACACATTATCTTCAAAGTTTGACCAAAACAGCTTAAATTCTGCCATTTCTTAACAAAATATGATCTTAATCCAAATTTGGATTTGGCAGTGGGCGACATGTTTAGGAAAATTACAATTATTTTATTTAGAAAATCCAAATCTACAGGAGGTCCCGTCTTCCGTGGAGTCCTGCTACAGAGAGTCCAAGTTTGTGATCTTTATTTAGTTTTAATTGAGAGGAAGAACACACCGTGGTCCACGGTGTGATCTGAGATGCTTCGATAAATGTCTCCGGTTCGTGTTACAGGATGGAGTCAGTGGAAATGACAAAGATTTAGACGCAGCTGCCACAAACATTGGAGGTGTTGTTCAGGGTTTTGCATCGATTTATGAAATCATTTCACGAGTTCTTGGTTCAATGGAAATGATTTATCAAACTTAAAAGAGATAAAGACCGACGTCCTAGAATACTACCTGGAAAGTGATGTCCCCAAAAAATGACTTTAATCTTGTTCTCATTGAGATAAAGACAGTTTGAATTCATCTGTGCTTTAAATGAGTTATGTCAATCAAGTCTTCAAGGGGATTTTTAGTATTTTTTGATAATTAAAAATCAGAATAAGTTGAACATCAGTGGCAAAACAGTCCAATTTAGATTCAAAGGCATCATATGAAAACAGGACGAGGCCCAGGATGGAACGACAGCAGGAGAACTCATCATAAAAACTGGATAAATTAAATTTACAAAGAGGCAACACAACTTTTCTTTGAGGGTTTCTCCGTCTTCCTGAATCAAGATTTAAATGTGACTGTTGCATGTATCTTATGTTGTATCTCATGTTGTGTGGGACTGTTTTCACTGTTTACTTATTTATGGATTCTTTGCAATGAAAGCAGTTATTGAGACCGCACTGAGCCCAACACAACATTACCAAGTGAGCAATAAAGTATATTATATTATATCATTTGTATTGTACCAATACTTCATTATATCTTATCAAATCACATTGCTTCCCATAATTTCCTGTTGTACTGTATTATACAGTATCATATCACATTGTGACATACACACTATATCATTTATTTTTCCACATCAAATTCCACACTGTGTAGTATTGAATCATATTATGTATTTTTTGTGTGATTTATGTTTTATATATATGCTAAATGTTTCAAAAACTATTCACGACCCACATCAAAACAACCATCAACATCAATGAGGACTCTCACCAGTACACATACCGTGAGAACCGATCAACAGAGGACACCATCTCCTCTGTGGTCCACATTGCTCTCACACACCTGGAACAGAAGGACTCCTACGTCCGTATGCTCTTTGTGGACTTCATGTCTGCCTTCAACACCATGATCCCCCAAACCCTGATGGACCAACCATTCTCACTAGGACTAAGCCCCTCCATTTTCAATTGGGTCCTAGACTTCTTAACAAACAGACCGTAGTCAGTGAGGATCCACAACTTCTCCATCATAACCCTCAGCACTGGCTCCCCTCAGGGATGTGTGTTGAGCCCCATCCTGTTCACTCTGCTCACGTATGATTGTGCAGCTTCCCATCCAGGCTGTCATACTGTAAAGTTTGCAGACGATACAGCGCTGGTGGGATGCTTCACAAACAATGAGTCCAGCTACAGGCAGGAGGTGGAACACCTGGAGAGCTGGTGCAAAGTGAACAACCTTCAAATCAATGTGTGAAGAAGATGAAGGAGATGGTCGTGGACTTCAGAAGGAACAAACACACCTACACCCCCTGAACATAAGATGATCTGCGGTGGAAGTGGATTCCAGCTACAAGTACTTGGGTGTACACTTGAATGACAACTTCAGCTGGAGCAACAACACCAGCCTGATCAAGAAAGCTCATCAGAGACTCTACTTCCTCAGACGGCTGAAACGAGCTGGTCTGGGAAGCTCAGTCCTCTCCTCCTTCTACAGGTGTGCAGTGGAGAGCATCCTGTGCTCCAGCATCAACGTGTGGCATGGAGGCTGCACAGCTGCAGAAAGAAAAGCTTTGCAGAAAGTGGTGAAGGCTGCACAGAAGACTGTTGGAGTCAGGCTCCCCACCATCACAGACATCTACACCTCCAGATGCAGGAAGAGGGCCACCTGCATCATGAAGGACCCCACCCACCCAGCACACACACTTTTGCCCCGCTCCCCTCAGGAAGGAGGTTAAGGAGCATTAAGTGTAGAACCACTAGACTGAGGAACAGCTTCTACCCTGAGGTTGTTAGACTCATGAATCTCTAACCAGAATAATCACTGTGAAAAATAACACCATGTTACTGCTGATCTGGTTCAATGTTGCTGCTGATCTGTTTCAATGCTGCTGCTGATGTGTTTGACTCAAGGCAGGTTTGTGTTTTGAACTTGGATGGTAGAGCACACAAAGTCCCCAAAGTGTCTTTTGGGACAGCTGGGTGAGCGTCAAGTCCACTGTCCCCCACTGTACAGTTCATGATGCTCTCTCCCTCCTATTTTGAGGGAGTGAACAGCACATGCATCTTGTTTGCTCCCATGATGTCGTTGTCACCTCGTGGATCTGGAAGCTGTTCAGCTGCTTCTCCTCCTGACAGGGTGTTCATAACACAGAGCATGTTCAAACCAGGAATATGATTAAAGTTTTAATAATTTTAGGGTTTTAACAGGAGCACAGTTCTGGTCTTATCACTCGACCAGCAGTGATGCTAACATAGGATTACTTAAGTTTAAGCATAAATATGGAAATAGAATTTCAGACTTTTATCACAGACAATCCAAAGTGGTGCAATGTATGAATTAAATGTATGGTCCATTGAAGAAGAGGAACTCCTGGAAAGAACAGAAATGTGGATGCTACGCTGGATTCTTGGAGTATTCCTCAAGGATAGACGGCAAAATGACGATATCAGAAAAACGCTTGGCGTGGCATCCATCACGGATAAGATACAGGAGTCAAGAATGAGATGGTGTGGGCATGTGCAGCGAATGGAAGATGACAACAAGGTAAAAAGGCTATTAAACGCAGACGTTTTCAGTCAATGAAGCAGTGGAAGAAGAGGTGATCCAGCAGGATATGAAGACACCAGCTCACAACAGACGATACATGAAACAGAGAAAAACGGAGAAGAAGAATTCATGTGGCTGACCCTGCTCCAAAAAGAACTGGACCTCCAGCCTGAAGGAGAGAGATCACAGACAACACAAAATGAAACCTGGGCAGATCTGAGCAGCAGAGGTCAAAAAAATCCCTGCTTGCTGATTGAGTTGAGAAAAAAAACACATTTGCATCAATTATGGAAACATTTGTACGCTGAGAACCAATCCATCGAATTGTTTTGGTTTATTTGAATCTTATTTCAAGTCTTTAGAGAAACGTGGAGAAATAAATCACCACGTTCAGTCCCTCCATCACTGTCCCTGCATGATGCCTGCCTCTTCTCCACATTCACCTCCATGCACCCAGGTCTCACAGAACTCATCTTGGCCAGGCTTAAGTGCACTGCATGTGTCAGTCACGGAGTGAGTCAAAGGGCGGAGGCAGATTAGAGAAGCGTAACCTGATCAGCTGCTGATGGTGTCCAAACAGTGGAAGATTTGAATTAAGACCAAAGAC